ATGAAAATTAAATACATAATGCACTGGACAGTGTGTTCCCTGTAATACAATGCCTGGGAATGGGATACCACTCCTATAAAAGCTCTGTCAATAATTTTCTCATAACAGTCATAATTTTCAGCAGTACTAAGATATCTCAAAATTGAAAGGAAATGTTTTATAAAAGGTCTTACATATAGAAAGTTTGACCAGTTTATTGCAGGAAGTAAAATCATACAAGTAGAAAACACCATTAAATTTAGATTTTTCTAAGACCCCAGAAGCCTTTAGCACATTCTGTGGAAATTTCTGTGCCATCATTTTGCGATACACAATATGAATGGAACTGAGTACACATACAGCTATGTATTTACTATATATACAGATATATGTTTAAGGTAGCTTGAGGCAGGAAACTGTAGCAGCTGAGCAAGAACATGAGAGTCTCAAGTTCTCAGAAATATGGAAAAATTAGCAAGCCAGAGCAGATAACTGCTGAGGTAGCTATATCTTGGCTGCAAGGGCAAGACTGGAAAAAGCGTGATGACAAACTGTAGAAGACGGAGATTTATAAGTACTAATAATGATGGCTGATCTGCCAAACTGTCCATATACTTGGAGAGAAATCTCATCTGTCTTTGAAAATTACTGAAATTGCCTAGAGAGCTAATGTATACTTTAATATCATACATTGGCAGCCAGACTGTAGTGACCACCTCACTCAGAGCAGATGTTCTTTGAAAATCACATGCAAAGAAAATATGGTTTCAGGAATTTAGAAGTACCATCCATTGGATCATAGACTGAACCCTTTCCTCAAGAAAATGTTTTTATCCAGAGGTGAAGTTAGGTTTCTTGTTCCTATTATTTGGAGGCATTAGTAGTAGGTAGCAGCATTAGAGGTGCAGCCACAGCAGTGGTGCTGAGGCAGGAACAAACCCTGGAGAATAGATGGAAGGGACAATAAGGCAACAAGAAGTAGAAAAGAAGTGTTGAAAAGGTGCCTCAAGGAAATGGGAATAATTTGCTGCTCTATAAAAAGCAATCATCATCATTCTTTGGATGGAGCTCAGCACCATTTAAATGGGTTTTATATGTGACAGTCTGAACTTTTTCAGCTATATTGTGACTTTTTTCTCCTCTAAATTGTGAAAGAGATTTGGAATTATCTAAGTTTCTATCTGTATAAGTCTATTCTAGCTGTGTGGGGAATCAGCTGTCCAAATCAAGGCACTAGTGAGCTCATCTCTCTATGTTTACAGGCCTGTAGTGTAAACTTCAGACATCTGTAATTATCACCTTGTCAAGAGGGACAATTGGACAGTTAAGGGCATGATCTATCTGTCTTACTTCACATAGTGCTTTAGGACAAGGTAAATCCTATATTTGTCTGTGGTTCCTCATTGAGTGAAAAAGGGATCTAGAGAAATACTGTAAATGTATATGGATTGCATACTGTATACAGGATGTTGCATCCAAGTGTACAGCATACATGCAGATTCTTTACTTTCAACCTGAATTAACTACTTAAGTCTTCACTAGGAGATTGGGATGTGGGAAATGCGTGTGACAGGACACTTTCTGTGTCATAGCATTAGCCAGTGTCTCAAGAAACTTGAAGCAGATACCAAGATCCTTGCATTTCTCTTTGTCACACATCAGAAAAACTGTCATGTATGCGACAGTACTGTCGTTACAATGCTTGCTACATTGACTCTCCATCAGCAATCCTTGCTATCAGGATCTCGGATACAGGTAATTCCAGTAAAGATTGATTTAGGTGAATTGTGGGGAACATTAAGATCAGAGAAATAAGAGATCAAGTCTATTCTGAAAATGTGGAGATCCCCAATTTTTGGAGAGTGAGGGAATAAACCCTGCAACTTTCTGAGGAGGAAAAAGGAAGATTTTTGCCATCACTTAGGAGTAGGCAAAAATAGATTTGTTTAGCCATTCAATTGTAGGCATAATGAAAATGAAAAAAAGAAAATATTGCTGATAGTATTCATTTAGCCCTTGTTCTATAAATAAATATTTCCATATCCATCAGCATGATGTAATACATCATTTGGTGGATATCTGTCTAGTGTAAGAGAGAAAGTCAATTACAAAATGTAAAAAATGAGCAATAATAGATAAGCAATATCCACAAGCATTCTCTTACACAAGGCCATTGGATATATGGTGATTATACTGATGATACCCCATTTCATTTAAACAATTTATATTCATGTCTCATATTCCAGAACAAACTGTTGTTTGATTTTTTTTTCTGCATCTTTAGAACTGGTGAAATACCATAAAGTTGTTACAGCTTGACCCTTCTGAGAGAGATAATTCATGTAAGTCCCAGGGTCAGAACAACTGGGACCTTATCTCATTTACACCTGTATTTTAGGCTCCTTGGAGAACTGTCATCCTTTGTAGATTAGTGTAGCCAACCTCAGTTCTGTCTCACCCATTGAGAATACAGGGGGCAATTAGTACTAAAGTAGATTTATGTAGAAGAATTCTGGTAGGTCTGAACAGAATCCAGCTTATTTATTCTTGTGGAGAATGGGACCTGTGTATTGTTTGCAAATATTTATGTAAAGTTAGAATATAGCATTATTCCAGATCATTCCCTTGTATGAGATACCATAAGAGAAGTGGCACTCAAGGAAAGAACATGACAGTACTGTGAAATTATGATCAGGTAAAAGCACATTATAGAGTATATTTAATAAGAAGACAAGGTACATTCTTAGCCTTGGCAACAGCAAAATCTGTAATTTGCATTTCTTTGTTTTTAATTTAAATCACTTCCAATTTTAATAGTTTAAAGAGGAAGGCAGTAGAATCACCTTCCTTGAATGACAGGAAAGGAAAAGGTTGCTTTCCATTGAGAAATCAAGAACAATATAAAATATTGTCTGTTGATCATGGAAGAGATAAATGACCAATAAAATTAATGAAACAACTTTTCTTTGAAAAGATCAATAATGCCATGAAGACTTTTACTTGGTTTTTTTTTGGAGAAGCTGTAGAAAAACTCTTTGTCTGATTAAAGTCAAAGGCAGTATATCAAATATCCAAGATCTATTAAATAAATTTTCTTCATTTCATACTATTTTATATACTCTACAATGTCTAAATCTCTCAGAGCAGAGAAGGCAAAAACATTTTTCTTGTCCTGTGAAGACATAGGCTAGCAAAACCAATATCCAGGACAGAAACTAGAAGGGGATATAAATAAACAAAAACTGGACAGAAGTTCATGACCAGGCTGCTATTAAAACAAAGCAAACTGAAACTTCTCCAGTGGCAATTAAACATTGAATAATGTCTCATTATGGGGCAGATTCCCATCATCATTTGGAGAGAAGAACTGAGGACTTCTAGCAAAGAGTGGATTACACATTTGCAGTGAAGAGGTACAGTTTGGAGGGAAGGTGAGCTATGAACTTGCAAAAGAAGCTGAAAGTCCTCTTGTGCTCAGTAACTTTCTTTTATGTGGGTTTAGAGATAACCTGCCTTGCCTGGGAGAGGATAGCCTGTCAGGGATACTAATGTGAGCTCTTGCAAGCATTGATGAGCTCTTGGTGGGTCATCGGTGTAGACTCCAGAAAAGAGAGGAACAAAGGAGATATTTTACTCTCTTCCATGTCCTAACTGGGCTTTAGCAACATCTGTAGAAGATACCAGCTACTCTGTTACACAGAGAGAGAAAAGCTGTTGGTGTGGAGGCTAATTTCTTTTTGAATGTAGAACACAGCTGCTAAATATGGATGTACTTAAATAATCCATACATAAGCAAACCCAAGTTTAATAGAAGACCATACTAGACTGTGCATTAAATTGAATCCATTTCTTCAAGTTGTAGAGCTACAGAATTGCAAGTTCTAGGATTCCGTACAGGTAGAATTGCAACTGGCAATATTCTCTTTGGCAGAAAAGAATCTATGGCTCAAACTGAGTTGCCTTTTCTAAAGGGATGTCCTGATTTACATGTTGACTTGTCCCAGGTTTTAGAAGACGGTATTATTTGACACTTAATTCCCTAAATGTAGCATCTTGTTAAGTGATATTTTGTTTTAGCGAAATATTCATAAAAAGCTCATAAGATAAAAGTATCTGCTTTAGCTTTTCTGTTTCGCTCTTGATGAAGAGTCACTGGGGTGAAAGTCAGAATTAGCAAAAAACATTGTAACAGTTGCAAATGGAGCCAGGGAGAGTAAAATGACACATTATGTAGGTAAAATAGTGCTTTAGGTAGCCCATAGAAATAGGCCAAATCAACTTAATCATATTCTAGGCTGCACAAGTAATGCAATGGATAAAATAATTGCTTATATTAAGGAAGAAAGACACAATAGACCACTCCAAAATTCCATGACATTTCTATCAAGTATTTACAGAAATTATTTAAGCATAAGTTGATCCATGGAGCTAATAGTCCTTATTATTTCTATCTGAAATCTCAGAAGATACTAGTATGGACAGGAATGGTTACAAGCGTTTGCTAGGAAAGTGATGTCCAGTGTTCTTAAATTAGTTACCAGATTTCTTACTTATTTTACCTTTTCCCATGAGAACTTTCAAAAACCTGTTAGAGTAAGAAATTTTACAATCATTTTCCAAGTGGGAAGGAGTTAAATTTCCAATACAGAAATTTAAAGCCTTGGGTAGTATGCTTAACAATGTGTGGCATGGTATGTAGAGAATTTATGTAGAATTCAGACTGAAAATGAGCTGTCTATATCCGAATCTTCTTAGGTGTTACTATGAACAGGAAACAAGCAAAAAAATAGAGTTCTTAAAAGGCATAATATAACTGTGACAACTGTAAGGCTTAATTACTTTGCAAATCAGTATTTAAAGAATAGTTTGGTGTTTGGTGACTTGCTCTTTGCTTCAGAATGGACAGTTTTCACCACTGTGAAGTAGATATTCAATCCATGCCTTTGTATCTTTAGCTACACCAGATTCAGAGTTTTGCAATAGAAATATGTAAACAGAATAACAAAGAAGTAAGAACATAATTATGACAATGAGTTAGTTTTAATTCAGGATTATAGACAGAACAAAAAAACTGGATACAATAAAAGTAAACTTCCATAGTTTGAAGATAGTCCAATGTGTCAGCAGTGTAACATGCAGAAAACATCTGATTTCCTAAATGGGAAAGGAAGAACGAAATTGTATAGTTTATACATGAAGTACTGCCTATGTCTATAATTAGATAGAATCTCAATAAAAACATTTAAATTCTATTAGGCACTTTACAGGTTATAATGTGAAATGATTTGCTTACATAAACCGATGGAAATAGTACAGCAGGGAAAAGAATGAAATACCTAATTTGGATTTGTCCACAAAAGAGAGGCCGACTAAAAGAAAACAGTGCTACCAGAGAAACTGGAATTGAGTTCTCCCTGTGAGAAGTAATGCTGGTAATATATCATGCAGAGTATGTGCTAATTTTCTAAATGGTAGATGTTTATAGAAATGCCATTCCCGGAATAGAAACTTCCAAGTATAGAGCCTGAAGTGTTACTACTGTTCAAGCGTAACCACTCTGCTGTGTTTAACACTAGGCCAAATAACTCCAAAACAAAGCTAAATAACTTACAAACTGCATGTTCGTGTTCTTTTTTAATTAAATTACCTGATACATACCCTTAACACATTTAAAGCAGAAAAGACAAGTGGGTAACTACATTAAAATAGACTTGACTCCAGCTTTGCCATCAAAAGGTGTGAGAATTGCTGCCAATGATGTGTTTCCCCTTAATCAGAGGCTATTTTCCCAGGAAAGTCAAAAGTGTAATGTTTATGTGTAGCTTGGTGCAAATCCAGAGCCCTTGTGTCTTGCCCAGTTTCACTCCATTTGAACGAGAAGGTTGGGTGTTGCCCTGGAGTGGCTGAGCCATGAACACACCATCCTTCTGTCTGGCTCTCCCCTGGGGGCAGTAATCCTTGGCAGAGGGGCAGCAAGAAACATCAGAGCATCTTTAACAGCAGCTGCTCTCTCTACTGTGAGTCCATAAGTGTAAGCTGTGCTACTGAACTTAGTAACTATTTAAACCAAGCAATATTTATCAACTAGATTATTTTGTCACAGGTGACAACAGGAATCTAGTGTGCCTGATTTAGATAGTCAAACATTAAGAACTGTTCTATTTAGTTTAAAAAAACATTAAAAGGATGGCCCTTAATTCTGTACCACTAATTCTTTATTTTCACACTGATTGACTTTCTTCATCTAGGCTGTTATACCAAATGTGCAGTAGTGAGCAGCCAACATATTTTTCTTCTTGACTCTAGTGAACGAATGCTGGGCTTGTCTTAATCAAAGAGAAACATGCATAAGCTTAATGGGATAGAAGTGAATTCTTCAGAGAATCAATTTTAAATGATTGTAAAAATGATTTGGTAAGTGTCTGCTGTTTGGTGACTGCACGTTGATGCACACATTGTCATCAGTGATGATATATAATTCCTGGGGTCTTCCTGATCTCTATAGGCTTCCTTATTCCTGTTGCATCTGTGCTGTTGATATGTTTAAACTGGACATTCAACACAGCATCTTCTACCTCTGAAAACAAATTCTGGAAATAACCATCTTTTTCATGTGGGCTGAGACCAAGTCCGAGCATAGTTTCAACTGCCCTTAGGAGGGAAGGAAGTTTATTCTTGACACCAAAAGTCAAATAAAGATGTTCATATTGTATATTTAAGGCTGCTTCCAAATCTGTATCACTGCACCATAGCCAAAATACTCTTGAGTCACATTCAGCTCCTTTCCTCTCAAAAAATAAATGTGGAAATGCATCATAGCTTTTTGGTTTAGAGTGGAAAGAATGCTGAATGGCTTTTCTCACATTAAAAAAAATCAGGATGAAATACAGAGTTTAAAGTGGTTACTGAACACAAATTCTTTCAGAAATAGTAAATATCTGGAAATTTCTTTCCACTGAATCCATCCTGTCGAGTGTACACTGCACAACAAAAACTTACTGTGTTTTCTGACTTAAGCAATTTACTAATGAGGTGGTTGAGAAGAGAAGCAGTAAAAATAGTTCTTGTAAAGTCGATGGAATAGTACAAATATTTTGCTAATCACAGAACAGTGCTGTGAGTCTATTCTACAGTAAAATGATTTTCAAATGTTTGTATTAGCTTTTGATGAGTATCTAGTAATACCCCTCTTCTCTCATTGATGGACAGACAAGGAAATGTTATCAGAACCACATTTTATTTCATATAAAGTTAGTGTTTGACAACAAGTTTTGTCCCTGCTGTGCACTGCAGTAACTGACAATGGTAGAAGTACTGTGAGGCTGGGAGTTTAGTCTCCAAGATATATATGGCAATGTGTACTTCAAGTTTTTTCGCACGCCAGATTTGCCATCTTTCAAATAGACTGGTGCAGATTATTTACATAAATGCAATATAAATTAGATTGAGCAACTAATCTAGCTTGTTGTTTGTGGGGGTTTTGTATTTTTTTTTGTATTCATCATCTATTTTGACTTTTTTATTCAAAGTAGATCTGTTTCCCAGACGGTCCACAAAAAAATACCACTGTGACTGAGACTGTGTCTCAGAGGATGAATAAACAGTGGGAAAAGAGAAGGGAGGAAATCTTTTGCAGTGACAGTGCCACAGACATGTTGTGTCATAAGGCTACAGCCAGAGCAACAGTGGTATGAGATCTAGTTCATTGCCTTTGTGGAAGAATATTTCTTCAGTTCAGCTACTGACATGATATTATGAGTGCTTTTCATACTGGTGAGATCTTAAAACTTGTGCAGAGGAAATAGAAAATGTAAAAATAATTTTTTACTATGAGCTGCAAACTGAAAAACAAAAGGAAAAAAACTGTGGAGAAATTTTACAGAAATATTTTAAGAAAGACTGGAACATTTTCATGTTGTGTCTTGCTCAGGTTTTTGTGAAGATAGTTTTAGGCTCATTTGACTTCTGGCATTCGTTAAGTGTCTCTATACTGGAGCAGTAACCTATAAAGTCTTCTTGACTTCTATATTTGACACTCCTGGCAAGAGTGACAAAATGTACTTGCCAAATAATTATCTCCCATGGCAAGTCACTGAAGAGATGGAAAAACACTGAGAGAAATTATCATACCTTTTAGGACAGTCATATTCACAGAACATTTTAAAAAATTGCAAAAAGCGTGTGTTTTAAAAAAAAACAACTCTGTAAAATATGTTATTGAAAATTACTGTTTGCAACAATATATGTTGTGTAATCTAATGTGTGTATGGGAAGATGACTGGTATATAAAATACCATTGTCAAAAATTGTCCTTTTTGAAATCAGTCTGGGAAAATAAATTTCAGACTTTGTTTTTTTTGATGAATTTCAATAGTACTTATTACTCCCGCAATGGTATTTTCTTACCATTTTGATGCATGAGCAACAGTATTTCTTTATTCAGGGAAATCTAACTTTTTAAATGGAGTTTGATGAGGTTAATAAAATGATTACAGTACATATTTGTCTGCAATAGAGAGATTTAAGCTTTTAAGGGCTTTCTTATCAGTTTGGTGTTCTTAAATTAAGGATTTTGGAAAAGAGCTAATAATTTACAGCAGATATCAAGGACAGCATAGACTTTAACCTATGCCTCAGGGTCAGTGAAGTGTATGACCTGTATAGGTTCTGCTGTCACCTGCTGCCCCAGCACAGCCTCTGTGGGGGCTGCTCCAGGCTGCCCAACCCGGACCTGCTCTGCTCCCCCAGCACCGCGTCCTCCCGTGAGGACAAGAAGCTGCTCAGCCACCACATAAGCAAGGGCCAAGAAGCTGCCCCAGGGTTTTAAGACTGGGGAAGAGCATCAACATGGCCACAACAAGAGGTCTGAGATAAAACTCATGCACCCAAAGGTTCAAAGGGAGGGATCACAGGCTAGCCATAGAGAAGACAGCAGCTCTATGTTCTTCCTCACTCAGCACTCTCTACTGCCTCAACCTCTGTTCCAGCAAACCTCTGTCTACCATCAGGCTGGATCTGTGTCTTTGTCCCTTTTCAATCTTCAGCTGTTCTGGAAAGCAAAGTTCCATGCACCTGTAGTATTTTTCCATTCCACGTATCATCCTCCCTACATGCTTTCTATATGTTGTCACTAACAGTCTGATTAATTCCTTTTTGGTAACCTTGCAAGTTAAGGAGTTTCTTGACCTTTCTAGAAGAAGAACTCTTCCTACCCAGAGAAGATAGTCAGCAGCTCCTATGATTGGGCTTTTCAATCTAGCATCAGTGGGGGTGCTGTTACAACACTGCTGTAGTCAGCAATGAACTTTGCCTTCATGGCAAAACTGGGCTTTCAGGATATTTTCTGTGTGTTTTGTGTATGTATATATACAGAGAGAGGCTTAGCCAACCCCGTGTGGAATTTTACTGGAGAGAGCAGTAAATACTTTCTACAGGCAGGGGAGCAGCCCATTAGTGTGGTGTGGAATGTCTTCACATTAGGCCTTATTCTCCCCTATTCCTGCTCCCCTGCCTGCTCCTTGGCTCTTTTGTTGAGCAGTCAGATGTTAAGAACTGCAGTGCAATCCATCCTGTAAAATTCTGCAGCACTAGGGTGATTTTGCTGTAAAAACACGTCTTCCTGTTGTTAAATGAAGTCATATGCAGCATAAATTATGTCTATTAATGTCTATATGGCATTCTGTCTAACTTTTTGTGTTTGCTTAGCATTGGTACTGGAAATTAGGGCAAAAAATAAGGGTACAGAGTGGATTTCTTTGTTGGAACTGAATAAGATTTTCATAACACTGGAAAGGGAAGAATGCTTTTACAATAATCAGTTATATCTAGTGCTAAGTTAAACGCTTGAAAGATAGGTGAAATATGGCATGACACTTTATTCATTTCTTTAAAATGAATCCTTTACTGCTTTTTATAGTCGTGGAAACAAAGAAAGGACATAAAGAAAAGGAAAGGGTAATGAATTGTAATTTGTATGGCTGTAGAAAGTAACTGGAGGGGGATAACTGATAATTCTGTAAAATGAAGTGATAAAAGACAAGGAAGATTTATTCAAGGTTGCACAAGGGTGTTTTGTAAGTTAGTAATAGTTTTATGTTTGAAAAGGGGACATTGAGATTAGATTTAACGAGAAACTTTCTGACAGAAAGATTTGG